GGGGGGGGGAGGAGGGGCATATGCCCCCTGGGGCCTCTGCCAGGGTGCACACAGTGGTGGGAGCCCCCTGTGCCCCTGGATAAGCCGCTCAAGCTCAATCCTTCCACCACTCGCCCAGCTGGGGTCCCACTTACCTTACGGGCCTCTGCCGCACTCTGTCCCTCACCGCAGAGGCCTCGATCTGGCCCTCATCCCTTCCCTTTCCCCACTGTGGGGGCCTCGATCTCACCCCCCCCCAGCTCAACAAGAGGCTCTGGGATCGACCAGTTGACTGGTTGGTGACCACTGCTCTAGGGTGACCACACTTCCCCACAGTCTGGTGTTGTCAGCAAACCTAGCCAGTCTTTTTCTGACACCAGAGTTTAGATCAATTATAAATACATTGAAGAGTACAGGTCTGAGAACGGAGTCCTAGGGGACACCACTTGTCACCATGTGCCACGTCGATTTGGTTCCATCATCTATCACTCTCTGGGTCCATCCATGGAGCCAGTTCCCCAACCATCAGACCGTAAGGTTATCAAGGCTGCAGTCCCCCAATTTTACCATGAGGACATCATGGGACACCAGGTCAAAGGCTTTCCTGAAGTCCAAATATATTATATCAACCACTTTTCCTTTGTCCAGGTAATGCGTCACCTGGTCATAGAAGGAAATGGGATTGGTCAGGCAAGATCTACAGCAACAAAGCCGTGGTGGCTCTCTCAAGAGTGTTGCCTTCTGTTAGCCTGTTGTTAATGGTTTCCTTAATGATTTTTTCCAAGATCTTTTCAGGTATTGAGGTCAAACTGATTGACTTGTAGTTTTCCAGATCTTCCTTCCTCCCTTTCTTGAAGATAGGCACCACATTGGCCCTCTCCCAATCTTCAGGTACATCGCCTGAGTGCCACGAGTTCTTGAATATCCTTGCCATTGGCTGTGCTACGATGTCAGCCAGTTCACAAGATCCATGCCAATGATGGGCATATTTTCACCCTTTTCCTGGTGATCCTGCATCTTGCCAGGCGGGGTGATTCCTTTGGGCTGGTGGAAGACCGACACAAAGTAATTGTTAAGGAGACTGGCTTTTTCCTGGGTGTCGGTTATCAGCTGCCCTATTTGGTTTAGCAAGGGTCC